CAGAGGGTGCATGCACTTGCCAGAAAGAGAGAGCCCCGACCCGGGACATGGCAATCTGCAATGCCTTCTCCACTTACCCTCCGTGTCGGGATTTGAGGCTTACGTGCACATGTGCATGGGGTGTTTTCCAGGTCAGGAGGCCAGGGCTTCAGCCACACTCAGCCACATGGGACTCTGGTCCCTCTGCCGCTGGGACACCGGCCCAGCCCAAGTTTGGCACATTTGCTCCTGACCTCCGAGGTTAGCTCTCGGTCCTCACTGCCGAGTGCGCGTGCGCCATTTGCTGGGCGCTCCACAAAGCCCTTTATTATGCTGAGACTGTTCCTGATGCTCCTAACTTCCTCGGGGTTTGGTTTGTTTGCTACAGAGCACGTGCGCTCACTGAAGACGACAGAGGTCCCCGGGATGGCCATGCTGCAGCCCCTTCTGTGGCCTCATCTTTGGCTGTGGGGCACGTGTGCCCAGTGTGTTTTCAAACTGCCAAGCCTGGGACTCGAACCGCACAGCTGGCCATGTGTGATCCAGCCATGGCCCTTCTGCATGTTCTTACCATGAAGGGGTGTTGCAGCTGTTGGGCCTCCCTCACATCAGTCGAGCCCACGTGTCCCCGATCCTGTGTGCTGGGTAGGTGGCCTGGCAACAGGCCCAGAGATGGCTGGCAGCTGGGGGGCTGGGGGCACTGTTTGGCCCTACTGGGTCATCGACAAGCACCTCCAGTCCAGGTGGGCCTTCAGGCAGGTCCTGTCCACTGCGGGAGGCAGTCCCGTCCACTGCGGGAGGCAGGTCCCATCCACTGCGGGAGGCAGTCCCGGCCCCCGCCGGAGTCCCATCCACTGCGGGAGGCAGTCCCGTCCACCGCGGGAGGCGGGCCTCCCTCCCAGGCCCGGGCCACATCTCCCGAGAATGGGAAAGCCTCCTTGGGAGGACACCTGTGAGGGGACCACCCGGACGCGGGCCACAGAGACTGGGCTTTATTGTGAGCTTGTAAACACTTCCTGCCCACGCGTGACCACGCGACCAGGGTGCCGCTCAAGGTGCCAGCTGCGTGGGCAAGCACACGGGCAGCCCGTGTCCCAATGGAGGCGAAGGCTGGACACTGCCTGTGCAGACGGACGCCGGCTCCCACTCGCCTCAGCCCCACCCAGAGCCTCAGGTCCTGGTACCTGCTCCAAACGGCCCCGCTTCCACCCAAAGGCCGGGACTCAGACAGTGGCCGGGCCACACTCACGTGACAGACACGCACTGACAGACGGGAGCTTAAGGACAAAGAGCGCCCGTCACCAGCCCTAGGCCAGAGCCGCGGCGGGCAAGCACAGGTGGGACATGTCGGCAGGTGGAGACCTGAGAGCCGGAGTGACAGGCCAGGCACGGCCCACCCGTGGACAAAGGCGGGCAGGGCCCCTGTGGCGGGATGGCAGAGGCCTCTGTGACCCTCCACTGCCCCCTCCAGGCCTGCTGCTCCGTCCCCGTGGATGGTCATCCACCCCCAGGGACAGAGGCTCTTTGGCCATCCTGGGGCTGAAGGCAGTGGGCGCTCCTGTGTGGGCCCGCGAGCCCACACGCTCCGTGCCCTCAGCCCTGCACACGCCGCGTTACTGACGGGTAAGACCGTGCTTTGTCTGAAAGACGTGAGGGTTTATTTCATGAGGCTCACCCTGCTCGCTGCTCACTGGCCTCATCGGCCTCCCGCGCCATCCGGCACTTTAAGCCCAAGTCCTCCCGGCCTCTTTCCGGCCAGATCGTACAGTGACTCGGAAGCCCTGCGGGAGACCGGCTCAGAGGCCCGTGAGCAGGACACGCTCCTTGCACGCACAGAACCAGCGGCATGGACAGGTTCTGCTCGCTGTCTCTCTCGACGTGTGGGTTAGAGTGCGCTGAGAAGCGGGGACAAAGTCCCTTCTAAGACAACTGATTTGCTACACTAGAAACGGGGACTCATAAAGGAAACCAAACCGAGAGTCAAAACCACGTGTGAGTCTGGGGACACGGGGTCCTCACTGCAGGAGCTCGGGGCAGCGGGCAGGGGCTGGGGCCAACCCGACACAAGGGGGCCGCCGGGGGCCCGGGCCG